CTTACGTCCAAGCTCACCAAGCTGTCACAGCTTGTGGCGCAGCAGACTGAAGTCATGGATCAGGTGGCCCTTTTCCGCAATGACACCACGTCGGCAACCGAGCATGTCAAGGCCATTGAGGAGCACACCATGGATACTTTGTGCAAGTTTCCTTCAGACTGTCTCACCGCAATGATGACAGATATTGGCCGTGCAATCATCGAGGCGCGGTTAAGTTGATACGGATCATTCCGGAAGTTATCAGCATTGAGTTTTTTTGGCAGCATGTAAATGCAGCATTTACATTTGTGATTCATTGATATGCTGTGGTTTGGTGTCTCTTTTGACGCACAGAACTAGGCAGGTAATCAGGTAATGCCTCACAAAGGGTTGTGCATGGCAAGTGTGCGCGCAATTGCGCTAGGAGGCTTGTGGTGCCAGCGGCCCTTTGCCTATGGACTTCGACGCCAAGTTTTTCTTCTCCTTCATGAGGCTTGGTTGTGCCGAGACTTCGTCGGGTCTCAGCTTCACCAACCTTTGCTCGAAAGGCTGTTCCTTGGATCAGGCTGCATTTCTGCAGCTTCAGTGTGCTTTGCTCCATCACTGGGTGGACAAGTTCAAGACGCTGTCAGAGGATGGCACGTTTCATTTGCTGGCCACGCTTCCCACTGAACTGCATGTGGCAGAACTGATCAGGACAGACGTTCTGTGCTACAATCTGGTTTTGCTGTGTACTGTTTTGGGGCTAGGTGGTTACAATGCAATCTGTGAAATGCTTCCAACATGTGAACTTAGTTGTGGTCCCATGTTGTTTCCATGTCCATTCCAGGGCATGCGGCAAAGATCCGAAAAGCGATACTGTGGAGGTGCCTGAGATGGAGAATCCTACTGGCCTTTGCCCCCGAGTCATTGTAGACACATGCAAGCTTGCCGTTGCTGCACAGGTGATGGATGACAAGGCTTGTGCCAGCATGTGTAGCGAAGATTTTCGCTCCCTCAAAGAGTTGGTCAGCTACATTTCCGCAACCAACCCCTCTGCAAGAGTGTCGCTGGTGTTCAAATCGCAGACAATTCTCAGGCTCGGGGGTTGCCCAATGCTGCTGCCATGAGTCACACCATGGCTAAATTAAGTACTTACAGTACTTGTTCTTACCGTAGGGTTTCCAATATTGTATTGTGGAGTTTTCTTTTGTTGGGGGGTTGCCGCTTGATGCAAGCAACAGGAACTTGTGGTCGAAAGCTATTGGGCTGTCCAAGCGTTCCATGGATGAGAAGGATGCGTGTAAAAAATTGGAGACATCAGCCAACCAGGTTACCAAGCTCACAGGTCTCCTGGACCAGGCGGGTGAATATGGGACGAAGCCTGAGCAGGTTCAGCCCATCTTGGCTGCTGCGCGGGCATGCTGCAGAGCAGTTGATGTTCACACTGCCTGCAAAGGCATCACGGATCCTGATGCGAAGGCCAAGTGCGAGACCCTTGATGAAAGTTTGGAGGGATGCGCGCTGGTCATGAAGGACAAGTTTGGCAACACCGCTTATGCCTCTACTTTTTTCCAGTCCCTCTTCAAGGATTCGGAGAACCCATACCTCTTTCCAACGAATGATGAATTTGATTCGAACGTTCTCTTGCGAGAGCTGATCATCGAAGGTCGGCTTGTCGTAGTATGAGATCATGAATTTTCGTTTGCTGAATTTTGAACTTGGATTCCAAATCTTTCTTGCCTTTTGTTACTTGTCCAGATCCAGTCCAGGCAGAATAGTTAGTTAGCGTCAATTGTTCAATGATAATGCTGCGCAAGACACACTACGTTAGCAAAGGGTCTAAAATGACTTGGCCTTACTTCATTCATCAGGTGAAGTGCTGGCAGAAGTTCTACGAACTGATGAATCGGCCCATGTGTTGCTTGGAAAATGTGCTCTTGCGCTGCAGGAGTTCCAGGAGAAGCTGGGCACTGACAAGTTCGCAGCTTGCTGCAAACTCTACGCAGTCTTCAAAGAGTTGATTGGCCAGTTTGGCAGGCTGACGGAGCCGAGCTGGACGGTTCACATCCAGGATGCAGGGCGCAGGTTTTTGAAGATCATTGATGGCGACATCGGCTTCGAATTGGTGCTCTCGTTCTGCAAGGGCAAAGGGCACAAGGAGTGCATGCAGAAAATGAATGCCATCGGAACTTTGCCACCAACTTTTACCAGGTTCAAGGAGGTGGTTGGATCATTTGAGGCTTTGAATGCCATTGAGGGAGAGCCTCCGTCTTCAGATGATCACACGGAGGTGACCAAGCACTTGACCAGCTTGGTCACATTTCTGAGTTTGGATGTGAAGGTTGTAATGGCCCTGTACCCGGAGTGTCACCAGAAGGTTGACGCCTACCAGAGCCAAATTGTTGCCAATATCCTTCGCACCTTGAACAAGATGAAAGTGGATATCAGGGAAGCGCAGAAAACGCTGGATACTTTCAGGCAGGGAGTTGGGCAGGGGTTTGGAAAAAATCATCGCAGTTGCAGTCGAGGCGATTGTTTTGTTAACAAGTTGTATGTTTGCATACTCTGGGATTGTCAATCTGACCCGCAAGCGGAAGCTGAGGCCGATCCTTGAAGCTGCGTCTGTATGGTCTTTGGACAATGTCAAATGGATGCTGGAGGATGACGAGGAAAAGGTTGACAAGCCCACTGCGGAGATTGTCGATTTGTATGTGGCCTCAGACCCATTCCTGAAGTTTGTCAAGAAGATCATTTCAGTGGTCAAGGGTGCAAAGATTGAAGTAAACACAATCATGGATCCTGCACACTGCATGAAGGGAATGGTGGAGGCCCATTTTCTGGCAAAAACCAGTGTAACATTCAGACAGGGCTTTCGTCTCAGAAGTTGGGACTTGCGTGTTTTGCACAGGCCTTGTTTCAAGATTTTGACATGATTTCATGCATATTTTTCGCATTTTGTTGATGCTTTGTTTTCCTGTCAGGCTTTCATGGAAGACGCCCGCAAGATCGTTTCTTGCATGACCGTTTGCTCCTTGCTGCACAACGAGGAGGACAGGGAGCCCGAGTACAAGATTTCTTGCGCCAGAAAGGTGGGCCAGTTTCTGTCCAAGACATTTGGCATGAGCACCAAGGACTTGGCACCATCTATTCAGAGCCGTTTCGAAGAGTTTGGGAAGAACCTTGCATGCCCTTTTGGGATGTAGCCGTACTTGTAGTAGTCTGCCTAGTCTATATTCAGTATAGTCGCTAGTTCATGGTTTATACATTGTCAAATTCAAATGCCAGATTTTTTGGCCAGCATCATTGTTTGTGGTTTCAGTTCTTGTTTGATGTTATCAACCATGTGGACCGGTGGGTTTACTCCTTATTTTTCAAAGGGTGGCCATACAAAGCAAATGTTTGCGGTTTCCGTCTCTTACTGTGTCCGGTGTACTTTTTTGAATGCCTCATTGGACATTGACAAGTGGTACCACAGTAGTACTGTAGTACTGACAACAACTTGACCCTGACAGAGACATGACATGTAAATTCACTTTCCCCAATTGAGACAAATCCGATATGTCCCATCCACTCCCATGAACACAAGCAACCTATTTTGAAAACAGGGTTTGTTCCATGTTGTGTATTCAGGGTGTCACCATGCGGGAGTTGACCTTGTTTTCGTATCACCTCAATATCCCCTATCTTCCACTCCATTGATGTCAATTCTGCATTCCAGTTCAGAAGGGGTCTTTACAGCAGCATTCAGGAAGCAGGCTGCGGCTCCAAAGGCCGCTGCGGAACCCAAGAAGCGCACCCGTGGTGCGGCAAAGGCTGAGGCAAAGAATGAGCCCAAGAAACGGGCCAGGGGCAAACAAGCTGGCAACTAGGTAGGCCCCGGCGTTTGACAGTTTTTTTGGGATTAGCGGCCACTACACATCCCATTCGTTTCAATCATTTTGAATTCAGTGTTGTGAAATTTTGTGTGTTTCTTGGACCAAAATCCAAGTCAGTCCACATTGTGAAAGTGTGTGAATTGGGGTGCGCTTTGCATTTTGAAGTGGCAATATAACAATGTCCCAAACTGAGTTGCGGAGCCTGTTGAACCCTTGGCCAGCTTACTGGCCACAATCTTGAAACTTTGGATGGGGATCATCGGAAAAAAGGATGGGCTGCTTACAGGGATTGGCTGCTTCATTTGGAAATGGAGCCTCAAAAGGGAAGGCAGGACACAGTTTCCAGTTTTAAAAGGCATGATTCCATGTGCCTCATGTGAACACTTGTCTTCAGCCAGCTTCTCGCTGCAGAATGTACAGGACTTGTGCAAGTCCAAGTAAGGGGCTATTGTGCCCGCATTTGATCGATTTGGTGGACTTCTTAAACATATATTGCCCGTCAGTGGGACGTGAACTATGGGCAAAACAAGGCAAATTTTATATATAGTTCTGAGAAATTTATATATAGTTCTGGACCATTTTATATATAGTTCTGAGAAATTTATATATAGTTCTGGACCAGTGCTGGCAGCCCACAGACAAAGAGGCCCACGCACCCATCAAGGCATGTGCTTTTGTTTAAACACAATATCATTGATATTCATATATATATATATATATATATTTTTCATATATAAATATATATACACCAAATTAATACACATGAAATGTGTTTGTGCCATCCGCATTCTCCTTCTCCGCGATGTCCGGCCTCGTCATCCAGGCCTCGAGCTGTTGCTGTCCCTTGGGCAGCAAGCTTTGGCAGAGGTACTCCGCGATCTTGTCGTTGGTCAAGGTCCTGAACTTCGGCCCGGACAGTTATAGCCCTTAACAGTTATAACTGGGATTATAATGATATATAACCTTAGTTGCAGGAGTTATAATCCCATTTATAACTGTTAGTTGGGCCATAACTAGATGAACACGCCGAGATTTAGGTCCGAAAAAAGGATACAGTACAAGGTGCAGAAAAGGGCCCGAAATACCAGTTATAAGTACTGAACTAAGCCCATAAAAATGGAACGTATAATCCCATTTATAACCACTTATAACATTGTTAATAACATGTTATAACTTTAAAATGACCATAACTGTGGCCCCCCCCCTGTGATGTTTGTTGATCTATCAACCCAAACAAGTATGGTTATAGGATGCTATAGGCATCATGAACCATAGCTATTGGAGTCATGAACCGACCCAACTAGGAGGCCCCACATTGTACCCCCCAGCAATCAAACAAGGGCTTGCTGGACAATTCACCATTTTGCTTGATTATTTTCCAACAAAACCTTTTCATTTTTAGGGATTCTCCAGCTAGCCGCGTTTGATTCTCGGAGGGTAGCAACCTTGAAACAAATAGAACGGTACAGTGATTCAACACTATTTGGCTAGGACTTTACTTTTCTATCGCTTCGGTGGTTGCGATACATTAAAGCAACTGACATTTGGAAGTGAAGCGCAAGAATCAGGAAGTCAGCAACCCAAATAAGGTCATTGACTCATTGACATTAAAAAACTGACCCATGAAAGTCAGACATGAACCGACTGGAATGGGAAGTGCATCCACCGAAGTGAATTAGCTAAATCACATGTGGAAATACGCAATGAACATGATAAACATGTAAAATTCAGCAAAGTGGCCTTTCCCCAAGAGAAAAAAAATCACGTTGCTTCGACCGTCCCCCAACGGTAGTGATGTGGGAAATATCAGCAGTCCAGCAGCCCCAGCTCCACATTGATTCATTGGGGAAACCCAACAAAATCTGGTTGGTGGTGCGATAACAATCTTGAAAAATGTGGTGAATACAATATACTGTTAATAATGGTTAATGATGATGGTTACTATATATATATATGTATGGTTAATGATGGTTAGCAATAATGACTGGTTGGTGGTCGAAGGAAGTTTAGAAGTCAAACTTCCGACAATATGGAGAGATGAAAAGCAGAGCAGGGCAGAGGCAGAGTGAAGAGGAAGATTAGAAGAGAGAAGATCAGAAGAGAAAGAGTAAGAAGACAGAAGATACAGATGCGCGAAAAGGTAGGAAAGCCGCGAAACACTGTGTTTTTCCAATGATTTGTGGCTCCGGAGGGTCGAAAAGTAGGCTCGCTAAAGCGGCGGGCGCGGAGCCAGCTGGCCACAGGAGCGATGAAAAATTGCACGCCGTTGTGGCGCGAAGCACATTTCGAAGTCAAAAGTGTTAAAAACTGGCGGTCTCGGACCACTTTTGGAAGTTGAGATGTCGAAAAAGTGCACGCCGTTGTGGCGCAAAGCACATTTCCAAGTCAAAATGCACAAAACACACCATTCTCGGACCACTTTTGGAAGTTGAGATGTCGGAAAAGTGCACGCCGTTGGGCGCGAAGCACATTTCCAAGTCAAAATGTACAAAGCACACCATTCTCGGACCACTTTTGGAAGTTGAGATGTCGAAAAAGTGCACGCCGTTGTGGCGCGAAGCACATTTAGAAGTCAAAATGCACAAAGCACACCATGTACGGACCACTTTTGGAGGTT